ATCCTGTGTCTGAAAGTTGCAAGTAGTAAATCCATCCCCTTTTATACCCTTCCTGACATCAACCATCATTGGTTTAAGGATGTAAGAAATACATCCCCAACTTTTCCAATGGACCTGTCCTCCATTAATTTATCTAATCCTTTTTTCAACCTGATTACACTGCCTGCCTCCATATTTTCCTGTGGTAATAAATTCCATGAGTTGACAAGAACTGTGCAAAAATGTACTTCCTTATTATTATTTTAAAGCAGCCCCCTGATCATTTCAGTAGATGCTCCTTGGTCTTGTATTCTGAAACCTGGAGAATAACAGTCCCCTATTCACTTTATCCACACTCCTCATAATTTTATACGCCTCTATCATATCCCCTCCTCAGCCTTCTCCTTCCAAACTGAAGAGTCCTAGCCTTTTCCGTCTCCTTCTGATACAGAAGCTGCTCCGTTAATTAAACTCTTGGAGCAGGTCCTATTGCTCCCATTTGGTATATAAGTGTAATCCTCTTCCACTCTGCTTAAGTTCCTAAAAAGCGTGAATGTTTCTATTTTATACTTTTGTAACACTCCTCCATCTTAGTCTTATGACAAAATCACTATAAGTAGTGGGGTGGAGGAGGACACCCTCACTTTTTTGCATTAATGCTTGATCTTGAGCACACTGGAATTGGACCATGACCACACATAGACACCGAAATTCCATGGGAACACATACCTGGCCCTTAGATGCAGGGGTCTGAAGCAAATAAAGTTCAAATTTTGCACTCCACAAATGTTCTCTTAAAAGTGACTGTTTCTATGAACATTTCTCACACTACTCTCACTTGCTAGGATATTAGCAAAAGGCAGAAAGGACATGAACCTAGTTGAAACAAATTCACTTAGAAATTTTACTCAGTATTTTCCATTCGTATTTGCAGTATGTACTGTTTTATATTACTTTAACAACTTTAGAAGGGCACCTGACATACCTAATCATAAAGGGGGCTTTGTGCATTTGTTTTATTTGACAGATGCACTGTAATGGTCCTTGTATTCTGGGCTGTCAAAAATAATATAGAGACAGATCCTTTGGGGATATAAATATCATAGCTGCATTGACTTCAGTGAGCTTCTTTGTAGAGTTACAGTATTTTACACAAGCACAAGCTGACCCAGAGTTTTTTACTGTAACTTTGGCCTTCAATATCATATTTAAAAGTGGATGTTTTATTCAAACTGTTCTACATTATTTATTTAACATAGGATTTTCTAGTTTATATCAATTTCTTTGTATTATGGAAGGATACATAGCTCCATATTACAAATCATGACTGCTAGGAGTAAAGCTATAATGCCATTGTAAGCAATGGCATCATTGCAACACCATTAATGCCAATAGATTTCCATCAGCTTATGCCAGAAATAAGGTTGGGCAGCTTTTATACATATTACAAAAGGCTATAACAACATGCTCCACCATGCACAATGCAGGTCATTCATAAGGTCTTTATTTTTTTCCTGTGAAATAAATGGAAACTTGATTGCTGATTTTAATGGGAGCATGATTGGACTGCAGACAAATGCCTAATTAACATGATGGTGTTTCAGCCTGGTGTATGTTTTAAAACTACAAGTTATTATAATTAATGGAGCAGAAAAATAGTTTTGGAGACAGGAGAAGTAAGAGATGAGAGGTTTTCTGTGACTACCTTACTATTCGAAATAGTCAATAGTTCAAACAGTTCCTTCATAGATCCCAATACCAAATCCTTTGGATTCTATGACCACATCCACCACATAACACACATTTATACATTCTCCATGCTGCAAGGGCATGCTATATCCAGGGGTCAAAAAACCCCTCTGCAGAACAAAAAGGTGGAGCAGCGCATACACAGGCAGTGCATACTGCTCAAAAGTGGAGCTGGGCCACCCAGAGCCATGCTCCAGCTGACAGCCAGACTCTGTGTGACAGAATTGCCACTACTGCAGCCCCAGGAAGCCCCCAGGAGCCCAGGTAAGGCTTCTGGGGCCTCCCCAACCCCACCCAGGGTAACTCACAGTGCACCAAAGCATGCATAGCACAGGCATTCTCCAGGGACAAGTAGCGGTGGCGCAAGGTGCGCCACCGCTACTTGGGGAACCAAACATCTATTCTCATTTGGATGCATCCCACCAGTCTGTTAAAATAATGACAAGAAAGGAAATCAGGCAGTTCCCATAGCTAATCTGGACACTGACTTGCTATTTGCTCTTTACCAAATCATCAGGTTTGCCAACTGTCTGTAAACTTATGGATGTCCTTAAAAAAAAGGCTAAAAATGCCTGCCCATGAAGGCCATAAAAGAAAATTGGAGCTATCCATAAAAAAACTAAGGAACATCGAGCTGGTTCATTGCTGCTGTCAGTATAAGGCTAGATTCAAGTGTCAATGGACAGACTGAGCAAAGCAGTGCTACCTGGTATCTAGTTAGAAGCATAGCTCAGTGCCTTGCAGGGAACTATCTGTCAGCCCCTTACTGCTTCCTGCCCTAGCCATGTTCTGCTTTTCTGTGTCCTTGTTGTCCCCTGCCTGTAATGGCTGCTCAGTGCTCACCTCAAAGGTATGCAGGGTTGGGCAGGACAAGAAGGCAGACAGTACAGCCAGGATGGAGCTGCTGGGCAGGGGGAGAAGAGATGATGGTTTGAGGTCTAAAGGGCATGTGAGGTTTGAGGGTGGGCTATGCGTGGTCAGTATGGTGCAATTTGGGGTACCAGGGTGTAGGGGTCAGTCTCAGGGTGTGTAGAGGGTGCTGTCCCCACCCCTAGAGTGGGAACATCATGGTGTAAAACCATTGTTGCAGCCCTCACAATCTTTTACCTGAGGTCCCAGTACAATTAAGGATGAAAAGACATTTCCATTAGGTTGTTTCTTTAGCAAGACTTGCCTTCAGCAGTAGGCTCTGAAATGCCACTTGGAATGATAAGCTTTATTTTCAAATGTAGTTAACTACTTTTTTGAAGGGGAAAGACTGGATTAGTATTTTAGAGGGGTTTTTTGTATTTGCTTTCTAGACAGGGAAATCTTAAGATTTTTTAAATTTTATTTTAATCATTCAGTTCCAGGGTTGCCAACCCAAGATTTTTTTTTAATAGACAATCTGCTAACTTTTTACTGAAAACCAAAATTTTTGCCATGGTTGGTGTTAGATCCCTAAATTTGGACCTAGTAAAAACACATGTTAATAAAATGTTTGGCTGTCAGTAAAAACTTTGCGGATTGTCAATAATATTTTTTCTTGGGTTGACCACCCTGCAATCTGTAATGGCTCACCACGTAGCCTTCACTTGTAAGATGGAACCTTAGTCTTGATCTGTTGCACTGAAGTGAGGGAGCTGTGAGGATTAAGGGATATTTGGCCTGTGCTCTGGCCATTGTGTGTGCTCTCTGAGCACTAGGAACTGAAAACTCTTCAGAGCAGGCACTGGAGTTCAGGTTTTTCATAGCAGCATAGGGGCTAGATCCATAGAGTCACCATTAATTATTAAGTCCTAAACTGCTAGGAGAATCTCAGCCAGCAGATATTGTATGTGTTTACAAAGCAGCTCAAAATCTTTGAGGAGGTGAGTGAGTAAATGAACAGAAATAATGAATATGTATCAGGCTAAACCTGCAACAGAACAGAAGTTAACCAGTTAACTTCTGGTTAACAGAAGTTAACCAGAACACACAAACCAGTTTCAAAATGGCTAAAACTGGTTTGAGATAAACCTGGTTGAATTTAGTGTCAGACTTAACTGATTGAGCTCAAACCGGTTTATGCAACTTCTGTCCCAGACCCCTTCCTGGTTTAAGTTAAACCAGAATCTCCCAGCATCCCAGCATGCTCTCTGGGCTGAGCTCTGCTCTCTGCTCTAGTGGAACAGGGATGGCTCTGCCTCTGTGCTCCCTAGCCAGAGCAGGGACAGGCAGGGGTGGGGGTCTGGCCAGATGCTAACCCTGGAAGGGAGCAGAGAAGAGGTTTAACTGACTGCTCCCATGCCTCTGCCACTGGAGTGGTGATGAGGAAGCTGCCTGCAAACCCTGGCTCAGGTTCATGCTGGTGGGACAGGGAGGCGGGAATTAAACACCCTCCCTGGCCAGTTCCCTTTACGCTACTGCCTGGGCTGGCCATGCCCTCCCCCCCTGCCAGCACAGCTTCCTTGCAGCTGAGGGTGCACTGTAGTGCCCTTCAGCTTCTGGCCTGAGCCACTGCAGGCATGTGCCTTCATTTCCAGAGTTAACAATGAATGTTTATTCACTTGCAAATTGGTTTTATCCAGGCAGGTTAGATTAACCTGCAAAGATTGAATCAATTTAGCCTCCAACTTTTTGAATGTCTGTCCCTATCTCTTCTGCCTAGCTCCTTTGGTTGCACACAAGACATGTGCTTGGACTATGCAAAGGGTTTCCCTGACACTTTGCAAGTCCTGTGAAAGGACCAGTCACAAATTGCCCTCCAAAATGGGCAGAGAACTCCAAGCTGCGCCACACAATCTAATATTCCATTCTTATTCAGCTCTCACTCATCTCTCTCTGTTGCCTTCAGTTTTGTGGTAGAAAAACTGAATTAAGATCTTGTATTGTAACCCAGAGAAATCCAATCCTGAGTTAAGAATACAAAGTAATTCACAACCATTACAATTTTTAAAACAAAAAGGCCCAAACAGCATTTAGGCTTTTGGTGTAATATATGACTGCCTGCTTTTAGGTTTGTATTCCATAAGGAATTACTACACTTGATAAAATAATATACAGCAGTAAAATGTTCAGGCACATGGAAGGTATTGAGACTGTAAAATTACCAGTTGATTATTTTAGCTGTTTCATTTTCTAATGGCTAGGCATTAGGAAAATTATAGCTACCTTAATCATTTTCGTGGGGAAAAAAAATCTTAACAAAATGTCACTAAAGTTATACATCTCATAATGTATGTCCAGCTGATGATTAATGACTTACTGAAGCAGTACAATATTACCTAGTTTGCTTTCTTTCCCCCCTACAGATTGTGAGTGTTGGAAAGCATGTTAAAGGCTACCATTACATCATTGCAAACCTGGTAAGATCCTTTTGTGTAATTATGTTAATGCTTGACAAGGAAAATACTCAACTGTGCTCTGGAATTATGATGCTACACATGAAATTTGCTATTTGTAACTAATATACAATTTACTGTAATAGGTTCTGAACAATGTAGAGAAAAATGTGTTTCTTTTTCCTATTCTGATGCTATTTCAGTAACAAGAAGCTAAATGTTATCCTTAGTTATTTTCCATTAAATTCAATACAGGGGCAGGCTGGGTGTAAGTGGAGGCTGAGTTTGACCTGTAGATAGTATTACATGATCTTTTTATTGTTACTCTATTATTATTATTATTATTATTATTATTATTACTCTATCATTACTTGAATACCAAGGTTCAAAGTAACTTCTCCAGATTTTCCAGGGTACATGCATTTTCCTGTAAGCTACTTCTAGTAAGAGTCTTACATCAGTGTTTTCCTTTTAGAACTATATAATGCATTAGTTCACCAAATGTTCAAAGAGGGAAAAATAATAAATAAAATAGCATTTTATTACTACAATAGTTTCTTTTCTTAACAAACATTCTAATGCACACAACAAATCAGATTACAAAATATATTTGTAACTTCTGGTTTTCATACCTTCCATTCCTCCTACTTTATCAGATGCCATAAGGAAGTAGGCTATACTATACAAAAATGCATCCCTCTTTAAATGAGTTAGTCTAAAAGGGCATCTTTACACACACTCTGGGGGTCAGGTGAGGGGGAGCACTTTACTTAGAGTGGCTCTTGTATTCAGCATCCAGTGCTTCAAAATGGTGGTGGGGCCACTTTAACTAAATCTTGTTTGATGAGCTTTAGCTATAGTACCCCCACAACCATTTTGAAGCATGGGGACACTAAATACACAAGATGCCAAGGCTGAAGGAGCACACACAATTAATTGAGTCTGCTCTGATGTGTTGTAATGCAGGCATCCCACATGTCTACAGGAACCCTAAGGTACTATCCTGCACTGCTATTTGGGTTAAATAAGTTAGTGACCTACTACCTTTCACATGCACTAAAATTCTCTTTTCTAGCTCAGTCTAATGTACTTAAAGCAGATCTTTCTTTTAACAAAGGAACAGACCCTTGGAAAACATTTTCAGAATCTTACTTTTCAAGTGCAATGGGGTAAAACCAGTCAGGATGGGAAAGTAGTGGGGAGAGTGTTATTTTCTTATGAATGCCTAACTCCTAAATATATAAGGTCAGTTTAGCCACTTTGCCACTCAGAGAACAAACCAACCTTGGTATTCAACAGCAGGGGTGTCAACATCATTTAATTGTTTTGTCTATGATGATGTTCATTCTAAACTTCAAATCAATAAGAAAAAGAATTTCCTAACACCAGTAAACTTCACATAAGGTTTCTTTCTCATGTTGCCTATGTGCCATTTGAAGAGTATCCAGTGACAAACTCTACCTAAAATTCTGATCTCTGTTACACCATTTTAAAACATATCTGTCTTCAGCTTGCATCTTGTGTACCAGCAGTAGTTTATTTAAAGCAGTCACCAAAACAATACAATAAAATGAGAGATTAACATTATATAGAATTAAATAATATTTTATAAATGTATGGTTTTTGCTAATAATATGCCCTAAGATTTTCTATTCTACAGGTTTACAGAAAATTAAAACAGAACATAGTGCATGATGATATTAAAGATAAAATGACGTAGTGAACATTAAAACAAAACATGATTCTACTTCATTTTAGCCCAAATTTTTTTGTGCAAGTAAGGGCCTTACTAGGGCTTTGATACGTGGTTATTTTGGATAGCACCTGGAACTCTTACTCCCTGGACTGTCCACACATTAACACCTGAAATTAGTTTTAAGCACACTTTGGGTGACTTAAAGTTACACCCCGCTAGGGCAAGTTTATCTCTGATCTATGTCCCCCGGCTTCTGTTCCATTAATGTGTGGCCACTCCTCACAGATAAGCTGCCCAAGTTGCAGTCCTCTGGCATCCCAGGATGCAGGGTTCTCTCCCCCACCCCACTGTTCTATGTGGACAAATTTTCCACCCCTTGAACTCTACCTGGCACCAAGCCAACTCCCGCTGCCACCCCTGCGAGTGTGACCTTCCTACCCCCAGGGATGCAACCCCATCCAAATGAGCTGCAAAGCCCATGCCAGCTATCTAGGCTGTAGGGCATGAATGGGTCTGGGAGTGGGGTCCAGGTGGATGGGGGAGATGACAAGATAGTGGAGCAGATCAGGTCCCCATGAGCTGGAGGTTTGTTCCTGGGACAGAGGCAGTAGCTCCCCCATAAGTGCCTTCCCTCACTGATCCTACCTCCCAAACATCCCAGGAAGCACAACCAGCACCTGCCACACCCTAATCTCAAATCCCAATTCCTTCAGTGTCTGGCTTCTTTCATTTAACCACCCTTTCCCCATCCACATTTCATTTCCACCTCCCATTTCATTACCCACCAACATCCCATTAACTCTCCACCTTCCACCATCATGTGCCCCCTTCCCCCAACCATCTCTCACATGGCCCCACCTAGAGCAGGGATAGAAGCCTGTCCTGGCTTACCAGCCCTGTAGAGGTAACTCACAGCCATAGCTCCTAGTCTGTCCCCTGCTTACCAGCTCTCTTGTGCCAAGTCACAGTGGTTCAGGTAGGGAATTGTCAGAGAACATTTTTAGCTTTAAGGTATGACTGTTGCAAACTTGAGCTAGCACCTATACTATTCAACATCTGAGCAGCTCAAAGTCTAACATGTAATAAGGCCCTACGGCCCTAACACAAATAAGCCTAAAGTATATAGGAAAGTCTCTGAAGTGTTAGAAAGAAGACAGATTGCTTTTCCTTCATTAACCCAGTGTTTCAAATTTCCCATTAATAGAGAGATCCATTTTCCTCTAAGCATTTCAAAAAACAAACAAGACCACAAATAGTGATTTAAATAATCTATCTCATTCCTCCCACAAGGGCATATTTTGTCCCAATATGATCCAACACGAAATGCCCATGACAACTAAAAATCTCATTAGAGTGAATTTCAATGTAGCAATGGCTTCTTATTGTTTGTAGTTTTACACCTTAGACAGGTAGGTTTCAAGGCCAAGAAAGTATTTTTTAACCTTTTAAAAGTAGAAGTTTGAGAGAGTCTTACTCCTGGCATATCTGTCTGCATGCGGGCACTTTTAATTCTTAAATTGATGTCTTGTTTTAAGTATAGAGGAAATACTGAATCAGTGAATCTCAATACATTTCCCAGTCCATTCATCTGGAGGAGAATGTAGATGTTATTTAACTACCCAAACCAGGGTTTATTTGGCAAAGGAGAGGCTTCTAGATTGCATTTCCTAGGGTATCTATTGGTGTAAAAGATCTAATTTTTCTCCAGTAGTTTAGAGTTTTTAATTGAGCTAAAGTGCTCACATTTATCAGTCCCATGTTAGAGTGCATGCCTCCTCTCCACACACAACCCAATATTGATTTAGATAGAGATAAATTTGCCTTAAAAAGTAATTAGAAATCTCTTCAGGTTTTGCATGGTTCATAGGGTCAGTAACCCAAAATTCTGCTCCATACAATAAAATGAACTCTACCTGGCATCTATAGACCTTTAACACTTAAAGAACCTTTGCCCTTCTTATTGTAAAACAGTAAAATTCTGCCGAATGCATGTTTTGTTCTCGTATTTACATTTTCAGTGTGCTTATTCCAACTCAGATTGTTGCTAAAGTAGATTCCAAGGTATTAAAGGAAGACATTTACTCTATTTCCTTTTTTCTGCAAAAACCAAACCATTCATTCCATAAAACCAATACCATGATTTTAGCTGTGTTGATTTCAAAGCCATTTGAGGTACATTACTGCTGAAAAGCATCTACGAATCTTTGGAGGACTATTTGGGATTATGCCATTATTAATGCTTCATTTACATAAAGCAGGAAAGGGACAGGGTCATTCAAAATTATGAGTTCATGGAACCGATTCACTGTTAGCATTTATTTTAGATTGTTCAAGAATAAATGAAGTAGCAGAACAAGCAGACATCCTTGCTATACCCCTGTCTTAGTTGGGGAACTATTGGACGGGGCACTGCTAATTATGTAACACACTTTATATGCTGTGTTTGAATAGTCAGACCCCATCTACGCATTACTCTTAAGGCACTTAAACCAGTTAATCACACTTTAAATAACCATCCGGCCACACATTCAGCCAATTAATGGCATAATAAAAAGAGGAATAAACTACAAAGTTATTCCACAAAATATGTGAAATAACTTTGTAGCTGCTTCCTATCACATCATTAATGGAATGTGTGGCCAGGGGCCCCAGTGGCTGAGAGTCCCATTAGCTGATCAGAGCTCTCAGCTGGAGGGGCCTATGTGCACCCCCAAACCTGGGATTTCCTAGCTCATAGATTCATAGATTGTTAGGAGCTGGAAGAGACCTTGTAGATCATCGGGTCCAGTTCCCCTGCACTAGCCAGGAAAAGACAACTGGGGTCAAGTGACACCAGTGAGGTGACTGTCCAGTCTCCTTGTGAAGATTTCCAGGGTAGGTGACTGCACCACCACTGGAGGGAGTTTATTCCACAGTCTGGACACCCTAACTGTGAAGGAATTTTTCCTGGAATTGAGCCTTAAGCAGCCTTCCAGGAGTTTGTCTCTATTGCTCCTGGTCTTCCCTAGGGGTGCCCTGGTGAACAGCTGTTCACTGAGTTCTTGATGTACTCCCTTGATATAGCGGTAAGCTGCTACTAAGTCTCCTCTCAATCTTCTCTTCTGTAGGCTGAAGAGGCCCAAGTCCCTCAGCCTCTCCTTGTATGGCTTATCTTACAAGACTCTGATCATACAGGTGGCTCTTCTCACCAGTGTGGAGTACAGTGGGAGTATCACTTCCTTAATTTTACAAGGGATGCAATGGTTAATGCATGCTAGTGTGTTGTTTGCCCTGCTGGCCACAGCATCACACTCCCGGCTCATGTTCATGTGATGGTCGATCACTACCTCTGGTCCCTTTCTGCCATGGTGCAAGTCAAATTGTCAGCACTGAGCCTGTAGGTATGTTGGAGATTGTTTGCCCCCAGATGGAGCACCTTATACTTCTGAGTGTTGAACTTCAGCTGGTTCCAGTCTGCCCAGCTCTCTAGCCTGTCCAGGTCCACCTGTATCTGTATCTGTAGCCTATCTTCTGGCATGACCACGCTCCCCCATAACTTGGCGTCATCCACAAACATGGCCAGCGAGCTTTTCACCCCAACATCCAAATCATTGATAAAGATGTTGAAAAGCACTGGTCCAAGCACAGACCACTGAGGGACACCACTGGCCACTTCTCTCCAGGACAACACAGATCCGTTCATGAGAACTCTCTTGGTCCTAACATGCAGCCAGTTTTCCACCCACTGAACTGTTGAGCAGTTAAGCCCACAATCTTCCAATTTTTCCACAAGGATATCATGGGATACTAGATCAAAAGCCTTTTGGAAGTCTAGGTATATAAGGTCGACCTTCTCTCCCATGTCCAGGTGGCAAGAGACCTGTTTGTAGAAGGAGATGAGATTGGTAAGACAAGATCTCACACAGCTGGGAGTCCCAAAAGCTAACAGGACTTCCACGTGCGGGGGTGTCCCATGCACCTCCACAGCCAGAAGACTGCAGCTGGGGCAGTCACAGCTGCGGGGGTACTTCATAAAAGCTGCAGTCTGCAGGGATCCCTGGGACACCCTCACAGCTGGGAGCCCGAGTGAGCTGAGGGGGCTTCCAGCCCTAGGAGCTTGCTTCTTGCTGGTGCAGGGGGATCCTGGGATCAGGTTCCCCCAGCACCAGCAATAAGAAAGTGTGATGGGATCTGATTCATGATCCCACCATCACGCCTCCTGCCATGCACATGTGGCATGGCAGGAGGCATGTCACATGTAGAGTCCATCAGATCCCATCACACCTTTTCCTGCATGTGTAGAGGGGCTCTAATTAACAGTTAATTATGAGAGATCTTTTTCCTTTGATGTCATTGCCAGGTTTTTTCCATAACTACTATCTGTCTATGGAGTGAATAGCTCACTTGAGACCTATGAAGGCTACATGCAAATATTTTTGTCTTTATATGTATTTAGATGCTAAATAGCACGATGGTCCATGCAGGAATAAACTTCTCTAAAACCAACATACTTTTCCCAAAATAATATTTTCAGAAATCCATGTATGAAGATGAAAAAGTAGATGTCTCCAAAGTATTTTGACAAGAATACGCATAAAACTAATGAGGTAATAGGGCATAGGCCAATAGGACATTGCCATTTTTAATGATTGGGACTATTATTTTTTCATTCCATTGCTTCAGGTAAATGCCTTCTAAAATAATTATATTAAATGCTTTGATCAGAATTGGATACTGCCAGTCAATTAATTAGTTGAAGATTTCTGGGGCATCTTTCAATTTCCCACCAAGTCTCTGTTATCTCCAATCACGTCATAGACTGTGCGAGGACTTCCAGTTCTTCCTGTTTGTTTCCCAGGCTCCATGCATTTGTGTACAGGTACCTGAGGTAACTAGTCAGTTGTCCTGATTTCTCAGGAAGTATGAGAGCACCTCCCTTGTTGCCCCCTCCTGCTTGCTCTTCCTCCAGGTCTCCTGCTTCCATGCTTACCTTAGGGTGTTGGTGTCCGTCCCCCAGCAAGCCTATTTTAAAGCCCTCTTCACTAGGTTAGCAATGTTCTTCCCTCTCTTTAACAGACATAAACTGTTAAATCCAACTCTCAAGAGGGGACGGGGGGGATGAGGTATCTAGCTGAGCATTTCAAGGATTGAATTCTGGAGACATAAATAATATTATTTTCCAATAGGTGAAGAGAGATTTTAAATGGCTGAAAACCATTCAATGCTTTGGTTCATATTTAAAAATTCTCTTTTATGTGGGTAAAAGTTGCGTAATAAAATATTTTGTTCTCTTAGTCTGTTACTTCTGTCTCTAGGAGAAATATGATCAATAAGAATGGAAGAAGTGTTTTTGTGGTCAGATTCTTAATCTGTCAGTTTATCAAGTGTCATTAAATCCTCATTGTTCAGGGCTTTATTAGCCTATTTCTTGACATTTCAGTTGTTTTAAAATATGGTGCACTTCTAACTGTGATTTTAAATCACAGATTATTTTAATTGCTATTAATTAATTTAAAAGAATATTTCGCATAGCAACTGTTGAAGACATGAGAATCTTGGTGAGTTTGATAGACTAGGGAATCCTTATTGCCTTCATTTTCCCATTGTAGGACTGTATTATGTACCCAGGAATCCAGGACAGAGCCAGGTAGTGAATTTAAACTCTCACTCAAAGTGGAGTCAAGAGTAAGAGCAAGTTATTGGGTGCATAAATCTATATTAAAATTTACTTTACCCACAGTGCCAGTAGTTAATGATACTGAAGATAAATTTCTCTCATCATCGATCTTTTCTTTCAACATCGCAATTTATATAAGTTGCATCACTGGATTATTGGTGAGAGTATCACTGGATTGAAAGGAAGAGGTTCTTTTTAGGCCTTTAAAAACAATAAATTATGTAATTTTCAGCTGTGTAGACAAATCTCTATTTACTGACAGAAAAGGCGTAGAGACAAGGCGTGCCTCTTTTGTGCGAGGACTAAAGATCATATTTACAATGGCAAGAAATCTCTGTTATAAGCCTATCACCTAAACCTATGAATTCTCTTCCTTAGAGTGCACTGGGTGTTTACCACCCAGCTAATAAAAGGTGTTGACACCTTTGATCAGATACTGCACAATAACATAGACAGTTAAATAGAATGAAATAATAGAAATGAGATTAATAGCTAAACTACATAAATTATCAATACTTAAAAACAAACCAAATCAAACAAAGTAGACAAGTTTCAGATTTACAGAATGGCCAAGCCCTTTGGCTGCCCCCTATATCATCAGTTTACGTAGGCAGAGGGTCCAGCTCATACAAGTAGAAGTAGTTCTTCTAAAGGGGTCCCAGTCAAACTCCACCTGACAGCCGTCTTATTTTGTAGATAATTGTTTATAAGTACAACTAGTTTCTCTTTCATTTTGCAAAATCACCTAGAAACATAAGCGTATTGACTGTAATATTCTGAAAGTGTTTTTCAACTATGGCTATTAACTATGTTTTCTCAGTATTATCCAGCACTCCCAACAATGTATTTTTCCAGCTGCTGATGCCTCAGACACACACACAGTGATCTGGAAATTTTAATCCCTATTTTTCTATAATTCAAATTAACATTATGAGCTAAAGCTGAATTTTCTCCTGGGGTTATAAGCCTTTTGCATGCATTAAATATCTATTTTCCTTTTTAGCTGCTTGGTTTTGCTCCCTTGTGAACCTAAAATAGATATGACCTGTAACAGTGTGCTAAACAAACCACATTGTTGGATTGATTTTGTAGGGATTCAAAGATATTTCCTTGGAGAGGTTTATGCATGGAGGAGCCAATGTGACAGGATTTCAATTAGTAGATTTCAGTACCCCAATGGTAACAAAACTGATGCAGCGCTGGAAGAAGCTGGACCAGAGAGAATATCCAGGATCTGAGACTCCTCCAAAGGTACTTCTATTTTTTTGCTCACTACCATCAATTTCACTCAAACATTGTAATAACTGAAGGTATACACATTTGCTTTACTTTATCATGCTGAGCTACAGCAGAAGATATGTGACTATGCAATTATTGATAACTAATTATACCCAGCATTACAATTATCTTATAGAAAGATGAGTTGCAACAAATTTCCCATTTTCTGTCACTTATTTTCCAATTAACCTGTTTAATGACAAGAATTAGAAGTCCAACTTTAGTGGAAATTGACAAACTAATTCCAACCAACCTTCAGTTTGTCAACCCAATTATATCTACATTGAATACACAGGTTTCCAGCCAGCAGGCATTCTTCTGTATCTGAGGTAATATAATAATAATAGTAATCATATCATTTCGAAGTTGTTAACTTTCTGAAAACTATGCACATAAATCCTGATGTAATGCTTACTATTAAACGTGATCTTAAAAATGCAAATATGTTCCATTATTGTTCTATATCGCTTCCCATATAGATAACAAAATTAAACAATTTGTGATTTTCTTGGCAGGCCAAACATGATACACCTGTAAAGATGATTGTATAAGAGCTTCTCTTTTATTATGGGTATTATGAATCTACCTAACTGCTATAATTGAGACTGGGGTTATGCTGGCACCATTCAAGCACATAGTCCAATCCTGTCCTAAAGAGCTTACAGCCTATTTAAACAAAACAAACCTTATAACTGGTCATATAGAAGTGAATGGACATACCAGAGTCACAAAGCAGATCAGCCATAGGTCAAAGATTAGAACCTCTGTTTCCTGAGTCTGTATATGGTGCTTACCCACTAGACCACACTGCATCTAGTTTAGTGCTTATGTGACCTCACTTACCATGTCTTCAAGCTAGTAGCTGGTAACATTTATTCTACACATTCTATTGTACATATCCTTTGCCTAATTTACATACTTTCCTGACCTGACCTACTGTGACTTCCAAGCCTCATCATTTTAGTTTTTCTATACCCCATTGTATGAGGGCATCAGAATAGAAATTTTGCAAACAAAAAGAAGAATGCTATCCCTGGTTATTTTGCAATTTAAGTAACCTGGTTCTGCCACTCATTGCCAATACATTTATTCATGGTCTTAAGCTTACTCAGTGAACTACAGAATAAAAATGGGTGGGCAGCATTACTCCAAGATACATCAGGTAAATAAAACAAAAGTTTGAGAAGGGGAGATCTGGAAATCTTCATTTTAATTTAATTGTCCCCTATGAATTCCTACAAAGAGATTTCTCTCCTCAAATAAAGTTTTAAAGCTAAACTATTATAATATAGTCTCAATACTGACAATCATGCAAATCATGAAGAACTCCCTTGAATAAAATTCATATTGGATTTTTTAGTTCTGCCTCAGTGGGAACTGCAGGGATTGGGTGCATAATGGGCTAAAACAGAAATATATCAAGCTGATTTTCTACAGATTTGCTACACTGAAGTAATGAATTTGTCCCCTGTTTAGTATACATCTGCACTGACCTATGATGGGGTCCTCGTGATGGCTGAAACCTTCCGTAATCTCAGAAGGCAGAAAATTGATATTTCACGGAGAGGGAATGCTGGAGATTGTCTAGCAAATCCTGCTGCCCCATGGGGTCAAGGGATCGATATGGAGAGAACTCTGAAACAGGTACGGCTTTGCTTAATTCTACTGATCTTGGGGAATAATACATTCTACTGATCTACACGTAGAAGAGAAAAGTGCATTTAGATTGCATGGAGCGATACATTTATTTTCAATTAGCATCTAAACCACCTACTAATGGTTTTATTGTTTCAGCTGGTTTTGTTTTAGTTTAGTGAAATATCTTTGATCTCAGTGTCTGAAAGAAATTGTTTTCTGTGAAGCACAAAGCAAACCACAGGCCAAATCCCTCACTGAATATGTTGAAAATTACTGAAAGAAATAAAACACCCTTAACTGAAGTGTTAAGCTCACCTGTTCCTCTATGAATTATAACCTAACATTAAAGGACAGATTCAAATTGGTCACCAAGATGCCGTTACTTAGGTGGTTGAAAAAAGTAGGTGTTTGATGCAGGAAGCCAAGCTGAATAGAAAGGGTTAGATGTCTAAGAACTCTAAGTACAGTCAGTGGGGAGAGTTAGGGCCTCAACAAATTACATTTACATCAGTCTAAAAAGGAGCTAATACACAACATATAGCCTTACACTGATGTGAGATACTCAAATGCAGTATAGACTTGCCCAGAAAAATCAGGGGTAAAATTATACTGGCATAAATGGCATATATCTGCAGTTTATTTGAGGCTAATCATATACTCAAGATGAATAAGCTAGTGCCAGTTCCCCTGCCAACTACAGTGTGTACAAACATTCAAAGAGCTCGCGGTGAAATTAATCTAAGTTCTGTGATTTTCTGTAAGCGGCAGCCACTAGGAAATGTAGCTGAACTCCCATACTTCTCCAGAGCTTGGATACTTACCTCTGACTGCACATTAGGACTTTCTATCCATTTGAGACTCAGAGCACCTTGTCCTTTGTTTGAGGGTAAGCACCTAACTCACTGGTGGTGGCAATGCCACTCATCTTTTGTACAATTGTCAGTGCTTTGAGCATACCCTCAGGAAGTGGGAGAATTGCATTTTAGACCACCCGCAGCCTGAGGGGGCTCAAATCCACATCTCCTCAGCAGAGTGCTTTAATCAGGAAAACCTACACTCTTGTCCTATGCAGAGGGTACTTCGCCTGGAAAAGAGTGTCCTGGGTTCCTATCTCTGTTCTTCCTGGTCTATGCATTTTACACTGGATAAACCACAGAAAAATAAGCCTAACAGCAGGAACAGCAAACTGCTCACCCTTCTCAGTGGGCTAGTCACAGTCCCTCTTGATTCCTCGTCCTCCAGCTCTATGAATCATACACTGTTAGCTGCCTGAACACCCAACTTCAATAGAAAGTCCCCATCCAGACTAGCTTTTATCCTGATGGTTCGGGCATTCGGTTGGGAAGCAGATGATGTGGTTTGGAAACTTCAGTTTCAGGAATGCATTGAGGGCAGTTCTCTTCATGGGCTCTAACCACTGGGTTACTGTGCAGTAAGTATCACTATTATCTTTTTTGAATCAAAGTAACTCTAGGTACAGTACTTTGTGCTGAACTCAATTCAGTTGATGCAAGTATGCTCTGGGGACAACTAATGGATTGAGGATTTAGGCAGAGTTTAGGCATCTTCCCAGCACCAATTTGGATTTTAATAAACTTAGATGTGACTTAGGTGCCTAGGGAATTTGGAGTAAAAAATGGATATACTAAGTAAATTTATGTATCTAATGTATTTTGTGGCTGCTGCCTTGATTGTTCTTTGGAATGTCGGCCTCCAGTTTCTGCCTAAATCCTACTTAATCTCCTAAAAGACTAATCTGCATTCCTCCCTAAAGGTATTCATTTATAGAAAAAGTTAATTCCAGTAGTAAAAATCAAAGACTATATCATTAAATTACTGACAGAATTGTATTATTCACAAAACTGCCTACCAAATTTGTTTGGATCATTCTGAATTCTTCTAGATTTTTTCAAATGCAACTCACATAGGTCATTTTCCCAGTAAAAAGAAATATCCCAGAGCCATTGTTCATCGATTTCAGGTCTTTGAGTTCCTAATGAATATGGATGTCTAGAAAGTTCCATATCTCTGTCAAGATGATTTAGCCTTTTTCTTCGAGTTTGGATAGTAAAAAAGAAAATTCCTACAATAATATTTTAAATCATTCCAATTACACACGAGCTGACTTGCCTCAGAAGCAGACACTGAGAAGAAAGTACTGACAGAACTGGAATTTTTGTGCCTGGAAGCAAGCATTTCAGTTTTGAAGGAGAGCTGGATAAAACTGAAGTGGACAAATAAAGAAGAATATGATTTGAAGTACACACCCTGGCCCTTAGGGAAAATATATTAAATATTCAGTATACTCCAAACGGTCAGTGAAAGTATGCAGATGTATAGTCTTTTCTGAAGTCAGGTTTGTACAGTGAAGATAATATCATGGGTAAAGTCGAATAATGCCTTCCAGTGAAGCACAAGAGGGATAAAGATCAAAATCTACATCCCGGCCCAGGGCCAAACACAGGTTGCAATACAGTCCCTGCTCCACCGCACCTACTGTATCAGCCTGTATGATGAAATTTGCTTCCACAGCTCCAGAATGCTACATGAAGTCTAGGGCTAGAAGAAAACTGTAATGTCATGGCCTCTCTCATGTCTCTTGCCCAACTCCACCCAGCATGGGCTCTAGGACAACTCCTCCCTTCTCCAGTATGGGCTCTAGGACAACTCCTCTACCAGCTGTTATCTCTCAAAGGCCTGTCAGGTTTATGTATTAAGGCATGATTTGCTTAAACGCTTGAGTGCATTTCACCCTTCTGTGGATTATATTTTAGTGTGTACTTGCTTTTTCATCAAAACTAAGTTAGAGAACACCTGAAAGTTCAAGCAAAGCTTCCTTTTAATTTGTTGTTCTGTTTGGTCCAAAATATTCAGCAATAGAAAATGTGTAGCCCCGGGACACAAGAGGAAAGTGTTGAGTAATTTTCTTACTGATTCCTGTCTGCTCTGTAGTGATTAGGTACAAACAGTACACGAGGCTGATTTTTTTATTTATTTATTTATTTATTTTAATTTTTAGGTTCGAATACAAGGGCTCACAGGAAATGTTCAGTTTGACCACTATGGTCGCAGAGTCAACTACACAATGGATGTGTTTGAGCTGAAGAACACAGGGCCTCGTAAGGTATGTGCTGACTGCATCTGAAAGGGTTAGTCTCTTCATATCCCACCATAGAGAAAAAAAATAATTAATGCATCAAAATAAGATCTTGAGCTCTACCTAGGAGTAAAGAGCTTATGTGTTAAAAAGTATCTGTTTTGTAGGCAGGAATTGCTCCTTGGAAGTCAGTGAAATTGAATCATGAACATAAGGGTGGGATTACTTTCAATCTTTGTTAAATACACTTAGTGAAATAGACTGGTTTGGGTTGGGTTTTTTTTAACTTTAAGTACATTTTACAGGAAATGCTACAGTAAAAGCTTTGTTGTCTGACATGAGTGGGGTAAGGGGGGTGCCAGTTATATAAAAATTCCAGTTATCTGAGAGTTTTACAGAAGACAGTGCCATACTTGTAATGCAAATATTTGATGCGCATGCTGGATAGACTCGGTAAAAATTCCAGTTGCTAAAGTGAGGATTTGTATTTGGGGATATTGTAAATTCCTGTTAATAGAGTATTCCAGTTAGTAAAATGCCAGTTAACACAGCTTTTACTGTATTATTTTTCACTTTAATGCAAGTGGAAAGTGAATAAAAACAAGTGTGTGTGTTGTGTGGGGTAGAAATTAAGATTGCTCAGTCTGGTATGATTTAATAAAAAACAGTTTGATGCAGTGTTATGCTGCTTGGGCAGTGGAGAACGGTCAGCACTCTAAATAATAAATGCCTACTGCACCTCATCAGGAACCTGCTTCCCAGCAAATTATGAACATTTCATTTTTTCCTTCCTCATAACCGTAAATAAGAACTTGTATTCAATATCAGTATTTGGAAGGTTGTAGAAAAGGAAAAAACCAATACCAAGAAAGCATGTTTTTTTGAGGGAAAATTAATTGTCCTCTCTAATCACATTTACTTTAAAATACTCCATCCCTTGCTGTCATCAATTTTTTTTTATATTTTAAGTGGCCTACCATAAATAGAATCATAGAAAATTAGTATATTAGAATATTAAATATGAGTATTATATTGTGCCTGCTCATTTTATATGTGGGCAATGTATGCACACACCTGTAGATATATACTTACAAATCTTCAGTATGTGAATACATGTATCCACAGTGGACTTTTGCCAGTTGTGAGCACTTACGTAATGTTCCTGGATATTGGGGAAAGTGGCTTTCTAATCCCCAATTCTACGCTGTACATATTATATTTTCACAAAACTGTGATTACTAAGTTCTCTGCATAATTGGGGGGAAAGTGTCTTGCTACGTTGGAGGCTGAGTACCTGTCCAAAATATGTGAACATAAGCAAAAAAGAACAAAACAAAAAAGAAGAAAAAACAATGGCATGGTTCAGTGAAGTACTATTCTCCTAGGTCTTTGGTTATCCAAACCTGTCAAAAGTCAGAGTTATGGCTTAGAAATGAGCAGAACAGCATGGACTGCACAGCAAATGATGCTTCTCTGCAGCTGATGGCAGATGGATATTATGGATTGTGTCCTCAGCTGGGGTAAATCACAGTAGCTCTGTTGAAATCAATAAGCCATGCTGACTTACAACAGGGGAGGATCTGGCAAAATGCCACATATGTACATTCCATGGTAGGTATTAGACTGTGGGCCAGGGATCTGGTGACATCTCAGATATGATTGTCAGGCTGTTCTCCCAGGCTGCTGCTCATCTACAAGAGGGCATGGCATTCACAGCCAGTACAAGTGAGCCTACCTGCACCTGCTGTTAGCTCAAGGCTTTTTGCCTTTGTCATAAGCACTAGAGAGAAAGCACTCCTCACTGTCTGAATGCAGGAGGGCTTGTCTTGCTTGTGGGAAGACAAAGGGTTCATGGAACTTTTAAAATTCCCTCTCCTTTAGGGAATGAGGGGAAGTCAAAGAGGGCCTTACCTAAAGCAGAAGCTGCCTAGAAGCAACACAGATAGGAAGTTCACGTATATGCATCAGGGAAGCTAGAGGGTATTTGTACTCTCTGAGGCCCATAACACACTGTTCAGCAGCCAAAGAGCAGCCACTAGAGAGAATTCTTATTCTCTAGTAAAATGATTTGGGAACTGGTAAGGATACTAACTTAATTGCTATTGCTAGGGAGGACTTGGGGCAGATACAAACCTTTGTCTAAGGGTATTTTAATTGGGTCCAGTATGTGTCTGTGAAGCAAGTCACCAAGATTATACAGCTTGACAATGAATGTTAGGGGGTGCGTGAATTCAAAGGCAAATAAACTGAGCAGGAAGGATCAATAATTGTTCAGCAGAAAATAACAAGGATTATCTGAGCATTGAGGATAGCGGGACACATCTATTGCACCAGATACAATCTGGCTGATATTAGAGGAAGGAATTGTCCATCTATGAACTTGGCCAATAGGGGAGGCAGCCAAGGTAAGTGCTAGTGCTCTCCATATGGGGTTGTCCAGTACAGACAATCATTCCACTTGGTGTTTAGTTCCTGTTTAATCCAGTGTTGGAAGTGGATTTAGAAGTCAGTGAAAGCATCTTAAAGGAAGTTGGGAAATATGAGTCATGGCTGCTAATTTCTGCTAAAATAAAGAAAAAAACATTCTTTTCCCCAGATTCTCATCCT